GTCCAAATTCACAGCCTCTTTTTTTTCCGGTCTTCCCGGTCTTCCAAGGACCCGGCCCGCCACRACCGGGGAGTGTGGGTCCTCCGGAGGACCCGTCCTACCGTTTTGGACACAGCCAATGCATCAAGTCCAGACCCTAGTACGAAGCAAAGTGAAGGACGGGTCTGGTTTAAACCAGGCACATCCCGTTTGCTCATCTTATTATGTCCATCAGGGTAGTGAGGAGGTCATGTGACTGAAAACTATCTATGGATAGAAGTTTCAACTATTTAAATGTGTTCCAGATGGAAATGCTCTGACTCAGTACATTAAAACATAGGTTATGCTGGAATAAACTATCTTTTTCAACCATCCTCGCTCCTTCCAGATTACACTGACTTCCTCTTCCTTGTAAGTCTCGTTGTCAATGTAGTCTCAGAGCACACTACCGCCACCATCAGGATGAAAAGATCACATATATAATGTGACTGGTCCAAAACTCAGCTGCTCGTGTCATCTCCAGAACCCCTTCCACCGGTCATATAACACCTGTCCTAAAGCATCTTCACTGGCTCCCTGTCAAATTTTGCATTTCTTATAAAATCTTGCTCCTCACCTTCAAAGCCCTCAATAATCTTGCCCCTCAGTATCTCACAGAACTTCAACATATTAACAGACCTTCTTACACCCTCAGGTCCTCCCTCTCCATCCAACTCACTCAACCACCAGTTCATCTGACCACTATGGGCTCAAGAGCTTTTAGTCACTCAGCACCCCACCTCTGGAACTCCCTCCCACCGGACATCAAAACTCTTCCACCATCTCCATTTTTAAATCACAGATCAAAACTTTTCTCTTCAAACAGGCATAATCAGTATAACTGCCATCTTAAACCCTATTTTATTTAGGATTTTTTATTGTTATGTACAATATTTTTATTTGTTCATTGTTACATTATTATTATCAAGTTTATTTGATAAGGACAGACACACAACAACACAGATAGATTGAATAAAACAGCAGTCCCATGCCTGTACCATGGTGCTTACTGTAAAGTGTGAGCTAATTTGCAGCACTTGTCCCTAGATATTTTAGTATGATGTTTTATTGGTATTTTCATTCTCTGTTTTATTTATTTTTGTTTTATTGTATTTTAATTTTATGGTGTCCTTGAGTGCCATGAAATGTGCCTTCAAATAAAATGTATTGTTGTTGTTGTTG